CCCCTTGGCTTGATGAGGTTTCCATTGTATGCAGGGTTTACAGTTTGGTTCAATGGCTCTCCAGCACCCCTGGTCAGAGTCACAACTTCTTCAGAAAAAAAATTAATTCAACTGCACGAGTAGGCTGAGAGAGCTGGAACATACGGTCCTACTCTAGAACTCCAGTAGCAGATTATCAGATGAAAGCACACTCAACCAATTAAACAAAATACAAAATAGAAATGATGGAGTCTCACACTGATGTCCATATACAAGGATTCAGCAAACACTGTAAGTGAACCTGCTAGGTCAGACCATTTCAAGAACCACAAACATGGTTACATGTGGGACAGACAAGATTCTCCATAACCTTTGCAGGATGTTGTATCCTTGCTTTGCACCATTCACAACAAGGTATCAATTACACATCGCTCAAACACTCAGAGACCCGTTATCTGGATCTCATCACTTAAGTACCTGTGCAACTCTTCAGTCATGTACAACACCAAATTGGCAAAACAAAGTAGGAAAATAACTACAAGGTGAGTGTCTTTAGTGAGAAAAGTTTCCGCATAGTAGGAAACATCTATCCCTTGTTATTACCAATACTAGTAAGGAAGAAAATAAGTGTTATTTATGCACTATTTGTCTTAGAATTATTTTGTTGACATAGAATCCTAGAAATGTAGGGGTGGAAGGGACCTCAAGAGGTCATCTAGTCCAGCCCCCTGCGCTGAGGCAGGACAAATATATGTAGACCATCCCTGGTAGGGATGGTCTACATATATTGTCTAACCTGTTCTTAAAATCCTCCAGCGTTGGGGATTCCACAACCTCCATTGGAAGCCTGTTCCAGAGCTTAACTATCCTTAGAGTTAGAAAGTTTTCCCTATTATCTAACCTAAATCTCCCTTTCTGCAGATTAACCCCATTACTTCTTGTCCTACCTTCAGTGGATGGGAGAATAATTGATCACCATTCTCCTTATAAAAGTCCTTATCATATTTGAAGACTGTTATCAGGGCATGTCTCAGACTCCTTTTTCCAAGACTAAGCATACCCATTTTGTAACCCTTTCCTTGTAGGTCAGGGTTTCTGAACCTTTTATCATTTTTGTTGCTCTCCTCGAACATTCCAATTTGTCTACATCACTCCCAATGTTTGGCACCGAGAACTGGACACAGTACTCCAGCTGAGGCCTCTCCAGTGCTGAACAGATCAGGACAATTACCTCCTGTCTTACCCCCTGCCCCAGCCCAGAGCCTGCAACCCGCACCCAACTCCGTCCTAGAGCCCAAACCCCCTCCTGCACCCCAACTCCCTCCCAGAGCCCACACCCCTCCCGCACCAAACTCCCTCCCAGAGTCTTAGGCAGGTGTGTGTGGGGGGGTGGAGGGTAGGACTTGGACCCGTTCTGGGCACCACCAAAAATTATATACAAACCTGTCACCCCTGTCACTATTCTCTTTTCACCCTTAAATAGCCTATTTTAGGGACAGCCTTCCAAAATAAAAAGTGTTCTAATGCCATTCATGCCATATGTTATGTTGACTACTCTGTACAAAGTATTTGGGCTGAATTTGATACCCAGACAAGTTGGAAGCCTATAGTTTTGCCTAGAAGCAGAACAACACTGACAAGTTTACGCTCAGAGCTCTGTCAGTGAATGCACATGCTGTTCCAGGTTACACTTGTCTGTCATGCCAACTTTTGTGTTACTTTTAATCAGAACTTTACATGAATGGTTTCATTGGCACCTAGAACCTGTTCTGTGGAGAAATTGAGGCCTTCAGTCCTCATGGCTATTAGTCAGCATTTTTCACCAGCACTAAAATTAACTAAAAATGTGAAGTACAAAAAATATATCTTACTCAGAATTATTCTTTACCATTTTTGAAATTATATTAGTAAAATGTTGCTGCAGGGGTATTTTTAGATGACAGAGCTTCTTAAATAAGAGACTCTTCAACCCTCAAGTGTAAAACCAGTAATATGCATATGTTATTTATATTTTTAGGTTGTCATTAAAATATACTTTCAAATGTGTTTGATATTGAAATTGTGAATTCTTATAATTCCAGTATTGTATTTGTGTTAGTGCCTTTTAGGATCTAATCCGAAAATTATTAGTATTACACGAGAAGCAGGCAGCAACACCTATAATTAAGGTTGCCTAACACTTTCTGCTGTAAGAAAGACACTGTTTTAATTTCCTTATATTTTGCCAAATTTTAACTGTTTGGGCTGACATTTTCCATGCTGGTGTCTGCCTCAGGCTAAATTTTTCTGGAAAGCTTCAGCAAAAATGATTCTGTCATTTCTGAGAACACAGTTAGAGGAAAATAGGTTGTTTTGCCAAGGTTAAAAAATTATTACAGTGGTTTTGTTGAAAAATTGTAGACAATCTTTGCAGCGGGGACTTTGAACTTTGACTGGAGCGGAGGTGTCATTCTGGAGTTAGAAAGCTGCTTTTTGCTGCATTGTGAAACCCTCCAACATTTGCAACTCTCTGGAAATCACCACGTGCACATGCTCAGAAGAGGTTTGTTAGAGTTTAGCAGCTACATTCTCCAAACATTGCATCTCTACTGAGAGTGCTCCAGCTCAGGGCTCCAGGGCTTAGCACTACTTCCCCTGCAACTGCTATTCCTGGGCCTCAGGAGCCACTGTGGTGCTTGGTACTAGAACTTAGAGCAGGGAGAATGTCTTTCCTTTTCTCTTAAAATGCTCCCTGGTGGTGTACAGGCAGCATGGAGAAGAAGGAAGAAGCACCTTCACTTGAATGCAGAGGGGTGAGGAGCAGAGCAGAGACAGGAGCAGGGTGGGGAAGGACAGGGCAGACTGGGGAGGACAGGAACAGAGGGAGATAAGGCAGGATGGGGTTTGTCATAGATTCCAAGCCCAGAAGAGACCGCTGTGATCATCTAGTCTGACCTCCTGTATAACACAGGCCAGAGAATTTCCCTCAAATAATTCCTAGGGTAGATCTTTTAGAAAAATATCCAATCGTGATTTAAAAATCATCAGTGATGGAGAATCCACCCTGACTCTTGATAAATTGTTCCAATGGTTAATTACTCTCGCTGTTAAAAATGTATGCCTTATTTCCATTATGGGGGCAGGCAGAGCTGTCCCTGGGGTATGGCAAATCAGGGCAACCGCCCTGGGCGGCACGCTTCGACAAAATTGTGGGGAGGTGAGGCGGGAGGCGAGCGGGGTGAGAAGGCGAGCGGGGAGGTGAGCGGCAGGTGGGAGGGGGGTGAGGAGGCAGGTGGGTGGGTAGACAGCAAGGAGGAGAGCGGTGGGCGGGGGAAGGGTGAGGAGGCGAGCGGCGGCCACCGGCAGCCCACCTACCAGAACCTCCCCTTCCCCCCAGCACCTCCTGCCCGCCGGCGGGCCCCGCCGATCAGTGCCTCCCCCTTCTTCTCAGCACCTACCGCCTGCCGTGGATCAGCTGTTTCGTGGCATCAGGAGGTGCTGTGGGGAGGGGAGAGGAGCAAGGGCACAGCGCACTTGGGGGGGGGGTGGAATTGGGCAGGGAAGAGGTGGGGCAGGGTGGAGTGGGGGTAGGAAGAAGCAGGGCGGGGTGGGGCCTTGGGGGAAGGGATGGAGTGGGGGCAGGGCCTGGGCAGAGGTGGGGGGGAGCACCCCCTGGCAGATTAGAAACTCTGCACCTATGTCCTGGGCCCTGCACCAGACGCCGGGTCCCTCCGACCCCCACATGGGCAGGGAGCAGCAGGGGTCCTTCTTGCCACCCACAGCGTCCGGGAGCAGTGGGGGTCCCCCTTGCTGCCCACAGTGGCTGGGAGCGGTGGCGGTGCTGGCTGAAGTCATGGAGGTCTTTTGAAGTCATGGATTCCGCGACTTCTATGACTAAATCGCAGCCTTAATCATAAGGCCTACACACAAGGGGGCTGAATTAACCTTTCACAGACAACCGTAAAACTGACATTACCTAACTTTTGAGAGCTTGACTTTGCAACCTTAATATGCATAATTGTAATGTTATAATTCAGTAGTGCCTGGAGATCCTGATCAGAATCAGGGCCCCATTGTGCTGGGCGCTGTTCAAAGACAGTCCCTGCCCCACAGAGTTTACAGATTACAAATTTTATTTATACAAAGTGTAGTTGGCAGTTTACAAATCAATCAGCAGGGGGCATTTTTGTTGTGTAGGTGGTAAAGCTTCTCCCACCATAATTCTAATTCCCACACCTACATTTTTTTCTTGTTAGAGATTTGAGGAATCTGAAACATAATGAGATCTTTGCTAAAGCTCCACACTATCTGAGTTTCTTTTAACACATTACAAGGTACACAGCAGCTTAACACTTGGTTTGAAAAAAAAGGTTTTGATTTTTTTTTTTATCTGTAGTTTCTGTGGACTGTCTGTCCATATTAAAGGTAGTTGCAATTTGTTCTTTTTAGGGGCTGTGACACCAGCAGATCATGGCCAGCTCATGCCAAGGTCCCCATGTCTCAGTTGAATACAGAATACAAATACAGAGCTGGAATCAGGCTGGCTCACCTGTGTGTTAGTGTTGTTAAAATAGATATTAGAATGATAAGAATGTGTTTAATGTTTAGACTTTATTGAATGCTTGTGAGCTGCTGCCTGCATTAATCTCACTTGTAACGTCTGTATCCCAGGTAATATCTGAGCTGTTGTGTTGTGAGCCTTTGTGACTCTGTAAATCACCAGATGAGAGACCAATTAGTGTGAAGGGCTGCTCTTCAACAGAAAGGGTTACACCCTTTCCAAAAGGAAAGATCCATTGATACCAGACTGAGTATTGTGGGACATTGCAACTGGAATCTCCTTACATATTGTCAGAAACAGGACAAAAGACTTATGTTGTTCGGCTCTCCGCCCCATGAAGATGAGTCATGCAAGTGGACTCTCTCCCCACCAGCTGAGTTTGCAGCTCAGAGTACAGGGCAGGAGGGAGATAAAAACCCCAAACAAAAATAATTTGGTATCTCTATGCTGCTTGGACTCTGAGGGGCAAAGTGTTTGTAGGCATAAGCAAGAGATCCGCAGCTGCTTAGCCTGGGTTCGCCCTAAAGGACATACGGAGCTTGTTGAGTATAGAAGCTTAAGATTGTAGCCCATTTGTGTATCTATGTTTACCTCCTTTAACCTTGTAAATAACTCTCTGGTTTCACTTTCATATTTAATGAATCTGTAGGTAGTTTATTATAGGATTGGCTACAGACGTTGTCTTTGGTGTGCGATCTGAGGTGCAATTGGCCTGCAATTGGGGTAAGTCACTGGTCCTTTGAGGCTGGGAGTAACCTGAATATTGCTGTGATCCTTGGTGTCAGGGTCCATCTATCACAAAGGCAGGCTCACGTGGGTGCGAGATAGATGCAGGTACCCAAGGGGGGACTGTCTGTGACTCCATGTTAAGTCTGTTATAGTGTCTGAAGAGTTTACACATGATAATTGGTTGGTGGAGTCTAAGTATCGAACTCACCACCTATTTGAGGTTTGTGCCCAGCTTCCTAACAGTCTGCCCTGAGGTTGGCACTCACACCCTCCGCCACTGCATGCAGTGTTACAGGGGCATTCCCTGCAGTCCGTGGCAAATTCCCCATTCAGCCCTCAGTCTGGCAAAATGTCTGTGACCCAGGAATAAGGGCCAGGCCAGGCTCCCACTGATTCTGTTGAAGCTGGATTAAGCCCCAAATCAATAATGTGAACAATGTTGTGCTTGTTATACAATGTGTTACACTTACTTAGCTACAAGGACTGCATTCTCCAAAGCTCCTCAGGAGGGAAATGGCAAGTTCAGCTCCTTCCGCCCCCTCTTCTCCCATGTTTTCCCATCTTGCAGCTGCTCCTGCTGACTCTGTGTGTGACCAGTCTGCTAGGCCTCATGCACAGGGAAGAGGGCATCTTCTCCAAATTCCACATCCACTCCATGTGACAAATAATCCCACCACCAGGCACAGAGCTTGGGCACAGTCAGTGTCTCCACTAGCTCTTCCATTCAGAGCTAGCTCCTGCTTACAAGTCTTTAAAATACACTGCTTCTCTGAGAATCCACTGTCCAAAAATGTGCAAATTGAGATCAGTAAGGACTGAATCAGCTGTTTCAAGTGGTATCAAGGATATAACAAAGTTTAATTATGGAGATGGTGGCCTTGATTCCATATGGTGGAAGTTTGCTTTAAATAATGTCGGGGACTAATTCCAGGGATTTTTTTCTAAGAACAAAATATTTCTTTCCAAACTCTCACCACTCTGTGAAACATCTAGACAAATTTCTGTGAACATTTTAAATTATTTTATTGATTAAATTACAAGTTAGAAGCATTTAAAATTAACCAATTTTAATTTTTTTACTGGCTTTATAATATTTTGTGTGTTTCTGGTTTAACATTTTTAAAACTTAGAACATCAGACTTACTGTGTGTCTAAATATTGATCATGGCCTTAGCCCAGAATTGAATTCGATATCAATATTTCGCCAAGATCTTGAACCTGCAAAGCGGTGAGCACTTTGATCCCAACCCAACAAAGCATGTAAGCATGTGTTTAAGTTTGAGCATGTGCATAGTCCCATTGGTTTGCTGGATCAGGGTCAGACTGCGCAGCACCTTGCAGGATTGATTCCTTGATGACGAATGCATTGTACTGCAGGTGGAGAAGCATTGCGCAGCACAGAGCTATGCCGCTGTAAGATCTCTTGTGTTGCCAGGAGAGAGCTCTCCTGTCAATATAATTAAACTGCCCCCAATGAACAGCAGTAGCTATGTTGGTGGGAGAAGCTCCCTGAGCAACATAAGTTTTGCCAACAGAAGTGGTAGTGTAGACATGGCCTAAGGGTTGCAGCCAGGATTGACAGGTCCTCAATTAAGATGTCAAAACACCCGGTGCCTCTAGCATCATCCCCTGCAGTCTCCTCCCATCCTGAAGGGCTCACCACTTCCTTGTTTCTCCTCAAGTCCCATCCAGCCAATCTGACTCAATTCAATACATTTTAATTGAGTCCAAAAATACCTTATTGGCAGGACAATTGCAGTTAATATGCAAGAGTCATGGAATACTCAGATCCTTGTCAGAGGCCGGTATAACCTGCCCAGGACACGGTCATGCAGTGGGGACCAGATTGTTCTTGCAGCCTTTCACCTTGAAGATAAGGGTGCATATATTTTCACTGGGTTCAGTTACTACATTAACAAGAGAACGTAATGTTGCATCTAACCTGGAGTCCTATTTCCTAATAGTCTTGTCCATGTTAGGTAAAGTGGAGTCTGTCATTGAACTCCGCTTAACACTATATACATTATTTATGGCCACAAAGAAAGACAATGTGAAGGATCCTGTGTATGGAGTCTGGGACTGAACTCACCCAAAGAAGTCCAACAAAGGTAAAAGAGAACGTGAGCTGTTTTTGACTGGTAGAAATGGACGTGTTGGGCACTTATATTTCTTTTTCTCTCCTGTCTAACAGTTTAAATGTGCCCATTTAACAGTATGTACTTTATCAAATCTTTTGTCAACCACATTCAAGATGTATCCTCATGGCCACTGTGTTGTCAATTCTTCATTTACTCTCCAAAACAACTCCGACATCAAAAACTGCATTACCGGAGAGCTCGTTAACTTTCATCCCTAAATTAGGGTTCTTCAAAAACTTTAGAAATCGTTTCCTCTTTCACACATAATGACAGTATCAATCATCATTTCACAGAGATGTATCGGTATGAAATACCTGATTTTTCTAGGCCTCAGGCCAGAATGGTGTGAATGGGTCTTAATGTAACAGGATCAGACCCAGGTGTTTTGTGTAGGCATTAGGTGGCATTTGTTTCTGGTGGCTCGATCCATGTTTTAGTAGGACTGGATCTGAGGAATGTCCCTTCTTGTAAACACATCCTTGTGATCACACAGAAATTGGTAACATCTGCTCCCTGTATCTGCCTGAAACATGAAACTTGTTTCCTAAAGTGTGACCAAGTAAGCTGGAGGTGGGTTCTTGGATGCAAAAGGGAAGCCATGCATGAGGCAGGCTGGCAGGTCAGCCTTAGCCAAGCCTGCCTTTGAGCCTCTGCCGTGGTGACTTGTCCAGGATTTCACAGAGACTTGGATTTATATCTCCGCCCAGGTTCCCACCGCTTTGGCTCATGCAGGGACCTGGTATACGCCGCATGAATCTCGCTCTCCACGCTGCAGACAATGCCACAGAACTACTGCAGCAGGGCCCCAGAGCAGCAGTAACCAAGGTAGGCTTGCTGTCTCTCTGGGCAGGGCCCGTACCAGTGGCCGCTTGCAGGGGACTCTGATCTCTGGAAGACAAGACAAATACTTTAGAAAACCAAACACTCTGGGTCTGTTCCAACACAACAGTTATAAGGTCACTCATTCATCCACTTCATTTCATTTCATTCACAGTTGGACACGACACATTTCTTTGGTGCAGGGACTTGTGTGTGTAGAGCAGTGTTTAGCACAGGAGGGTACAATCCCTGGTTGGGGGTCTCTCCGTGCTACCACAATACAAATACATATCAATAACACCATTGATTTTTGTAGTTATTTTATTTTATTATTGTTTTATTCATATAGCAGAATTCCAGGGGGCTCAGAGATGGTTGACTAGAATGACTGAGGCATAGGGAAGCTCTCATTTGAAGAGAGATTGAAATAAATGGAACTGTTTGCCTTACAGAGAAGATGAGTAAGGAGACAGAATAAAGGTACACCTCTACCCCGATATAATGCTGTCCTCGGGAGTCAAAAAATCTTACCGCATTATAGGTGAAACCACGTTATATCGAACTTGCTTTGATCCACTGGAGTGCGCAGCCACCCCCCCAGAGCACTGCTTTACCGTGTTATATCCGAATTCGTGTTATATCGGGTCGCGTTATATCGGGGTAGAGGTGTATACAAGATTATGAATGGTCTAGAGCAGGGGTCAGCAACCTTTCAGAAGTGGTGTGCCGAGTCTTCATTTATTCGCTCTAATTTAAGGTTTTGCGTGCCAGTGATACATTTTAACATTTTAACGTTTTTAGAAGGTCTCTTTCTATAAGTCTATAATATATAACTAAACTATTGTTGTATGTAAAGTAAATAAGGTTTTTAAAATGTTTAAGAAGCTTCATTTCAAATTAAATTAAAATGTAGAGCCCACCGGACCGGTGGCCAGGACCCAGGCAGTGTGAGTGCCACTGAAAATCAGCTCGCGTGCCGCCTTCGGCACACGTGCCATAGGTTGCCTACTCCTGGTCTAGAGAAAATAGATTAGAACTTTGAATAAAAAATCCCCAACGGCCAGAGGTGGGACACTAGAGGGGGAGGGCTCTGAGTTACTACAGAGAATTATTTTCCAGGTATCTGCCTGGTGGGTCTTGCTCACATGCCCAGGGTCTAACTGATCGCCAGATTTGGGATTGGGACGGAATCTTCTCCTGTGTCAGATTAGCAGATTTTTTGCCTTCCTCTGCAGCATGGGGCACAGGTAACTTGCAGGCTTAAACTAGTGTAAATGGTGAATTTTTTGTAACTTGAGGACTTTAAACCATGATTTGAGGACTTCAGTAACTCAGCCAGAGGTTAGGAGTCTATTACACGAGTGGGTGGGTAAGGTTCTGTGGCCTGCGATGTGCAGGAAGTCAGACTAGATGATCACGATGGTCCCTTCTGATCTTAAAGTCTACAAGGCTAGGAGAACACAAGAACAAGGGCACGTTCAGTGAAATTAAAAGTAGGAAATTCAAACCTGATAAAGTTAATGATTTTTCACACATTGCACAATTGTTATGTGGAACTCCTTGCCACAAGATATAATTGAGGGCAAGACTGTAGCATGATTCCAAAAAGGGTGGCAGTTTATGCGGCTAACAAGAATATCCAGAGTTATTATAGTAAATATTAATATATAAACCAGGGTGTGGGCAGGGCGATAAACTCTTCTACTTCAAGGCATAAACCAGCTTCTGACTGCTGGGGGTTCTGTTACTGGTATTGCAGTAGTGCCAGAGGACCCAGTCAGGGATCAGTACCAGGGACTAGACACATGTAACAAAAAGACCATGTCTGGTCCAAAGAGCTTTAATCAGAGTGTAAAACAAGAACCAATAGGAGCAGACAGACAGACGGGGAGGGAAGCATAAGGCAACAATAAAACAATTACGAACAGCATGCTAAGCAGTGGTCATAGCATATCAGCTGTCCACAAACACCTACTACAGGGTTCTTGCACCTTCCTCTGAAGCATCAGATGCTGGCCATGGTAGGAAACGGGATACTAGGTGAACCCCTGAATTCGATTCAATATTGCAATTCCTGTATTGTATGAATTGTTTAGCATTTCTTAAGCACCGGCACTGTACAAGACACAAACTAAAAGCTGATCCCTGCCAATTTGCTTACAATTTTAAGGCCCTATCCTGGAATCAGAGCCACGCAGTCAGACACATGCACATGGCCTCCTATTGGCTTCAGGGGGGCCCTACCCATGTGGATCTGATAGCAGGATTAGGGCCCAAAAGACAGACACAGAAAAGACAGGAGGCACTGGGATGTCCAGAGAATGAATAGCCTGGGGTGTTTTTTATGGAAATGACTCATTGCTTGTGTGCAAAACTGGAGAAGGGAGTCTTTAGGTGGGATCTGGAGGTTGGCACAGGCCTTGTCCACACTACACAGTTTTGTCGACAAAAGTCAGGTTTCATTGACAAAACGGTTGAGGTGTACACACTGCAATGCTCCTTCTGCCAACAAAACTCTTCTGCTTCGTTATGTCGCTGTAAATGGCCTCCAGAAAGTATCCCACAGTGCCCATCCTGACCGCTCTGGTCAGCAGTTTGAACTCCGCTGTCCTGTACCCAATTACACAGGCATCCGCCCCTTCCCTTTTAAAGGCCTGGGAATTTTTGATATTCCACTTGGCTTGCTCGGTGTGGAGAACTCTCATTGCACCTTCCTAACTGACTGTGGCAGCTCCACATAGCAAACACTCACCGCTTGGAACACAGCTGAGTTGTTGGATCTGCTGGCACTGTAGGGAGCGGAGGCTGTGCAGTTCAAGCTTCACTCCAGCCGTAGGAACTTCCATACATATGGTCAGATTTCTCGTGGCATGTTGGTTAAGGGCTACGAACGGGACACACATCAGTGCTGTGCGAAGAGAAAGGAGCTGAGGCAAGTGTACCAGAAGGCAAGGGAGGCAAACCGTAGCTGTGGTGCTGCACCGAAGACCTGCCACTTCTGTAAGGAGCTGGACGCCATCCTTGGTGGCAACCCCACCTTCATTGCCAAGAGACCCATGGACGTCAGGGCTGGAGGTGGCGGACAATGGATTCAACCCCAAGGACGTAGTCAAAGATGAGGAGGTCGAGTTGAAGGATGATATGGAGCACACGGCAGGGTCGTCCAGTGGTGCGGCAAGTCAGGACCTCTTTTCCACTCCGGAGGAGTCTAGCCAGTCCCAGCAGTCCGTCTAGTGTGTATGATGCAGGAGAGGAGAGCTGTGGTAAGTGATTTTTTTGAGTTGATGCTGCTCGGTTATATGAGGTAGAACTATCCTTTGCTCTGTATATTCTAGAAGTAGGTGAAGGGATTGTACAAGACTAGCTGACTACAAATCCCGATCAGGAGTCATCACAATGGTCATGCAAGGTGGCAAGTTAGCAAAGCATGACAGAGTACTGTATAGAAAAACACATTACTGGTTCTCATTGTCAAAATGTTGCTTCAAAGCCTCCCTGATTTGAATAGCCCCCCCGTTGTGCCCCTCTAATATCCCTGGTGTCTGGAGGCTCAAATTCAGCAGCAAGGCAATCCGCCTCTGCAATCTACCCTGGGGGAAACGTTTCACCTTTAGCCTCATAAATCTTATGGCGCGTGCAGCAGGCTATGACCACAGGAATATTTTCCTCATTTAGGTCTAACCTGCCATAAAGGCAGCACCAGCACACTTTTAATCTACCAAAGTCAGATTCTACTGTCATTCTGCACCTGCTCAGCCTATTGTTGAAGGACTCTTTGCTGCTGTCCAGGTTACCCAGAAGCCTCCTGCTGCAAGACAAGTCCAAGAAACAAACTAACAGAACTCCACTGGCCAACACCTACAGTCCTCAGCTTAAACCTCTCCAATGCATCATCAGTGATCTACAACCCATCCTGGACAATGATCCCTGGCTTTCACAGACCTTGGGAGGCAGGCCAGTCCTCTCCCACAGACAACCCGCCAACCTTAAGCATATTCTCACCAGCAACCACACAACGTACTGTAACAACTCTAACTCAGGAACCAATCCATGCAACAAACCTCGATGCCAACTCTGCCCACATATCTACACCAGTGACACCATCACAGGACCTAACCAGATCAGCTACAACATCACCGGTTCATTCACCTCCATGCCCACCAATGTTATATACGCCATCATGTGCCAGCAATGCCCCTCTGCTATGTACATTGGCCAAACTGGACAGTCCCTACATAAAAGGATAAATGGACACAAGTCAGATATCAGGAATGGCAATATACAAAAACCTGTAGGAGAACACTTCAACCTTCCTGGCCACACAATAGCAGATTTTAAGGTAGCCATCCTAGAGCAAAAAAACTTCAGGACCAGACTTCAAAGAGAAACTGCTGAGCTTCAGTTCATTTGCAAATTTGACACCATCAGCTCAGGATTAAACAAAGACTGTGAATGGCTAGCCAACTACAAAAGCAGTTTCTCCTCCCTTGGTGTTCACACCTCAACTGCTAGAAGAGGGCCTCACCCTCTCTGATTGAACTAACCTCGTTATCTCCAGACTGATTCTTGCCTGCATATTTATACCTGCCTCTGGAAATTTCCATTACATACGTCTGACGAAGTGGGTATTCACCCACGAAAGCTTATGCTCCAATACATCTATTAGTCTATAAGGTGCCACAGGATTCTTTGTTGCTTTTTACAGATCCAGACTAACATGGCTACCCCTCTGATACCAGGTTTCACATGTAAGGCTTCACAATCCATGGGAGTAAGGGGTACGCTGGTCTCCCAGGATTACTATGGGTATTTTAACATCCCCCACTGGAATCTTCTGGTCTGGAAAGAAAGTCCCTACTTGGAACTTTCTGTACAGGTCAGTGTTCCTGAAGATGCATGCGTCATGTACCTTTCCAGACCATCCCGCATTATTGGTGAAATGCCCATGGTGATCCACAAGTGCCTGCAATACCATAGAGGTACCCCTTTCTATTGATGGACTCGATCACAAGATGGTCCAGGGACAAACTTGGAATATGTGTGCCATCTATGGCACCGCCACAGTTAGG